GGACAATCAGGGTAAAACATGAAATAGCCAAGTATTCAGTACTGTGAAACAACATTTAAACAGCTAGCCCCCATTACCCAATTGCTATACAACTATGTCTAGTGCACAAAAATACATAAAAAGTTAGAACTGTATTGATAAATAATCCCTTAAAATAAATTATTTTCATCTGAAATATTTTTATAGAAATGCAGGTCCAGATGCAAAGGTAAACTGCACATGTAAATAAATTTACAGCAATTTTAGTGAGTATTTTTATAAGGATGATGCAATTGTCAATCACTAGACAGTTTTTGACTACTGAAGAAAAGGCTGCTTACATTTTCTTAAGTTAAGAGGCTACAAATTAGATTATCTGTTTACTTTCAAAGAAAAAGTACATAACACAAAATGAAATTTCACCTGAAATATCTCAACTAATAACAACTTACAGTTGTCCAGCTCATGAAGTTAGAATATATTTTAATAACAGCAACAAAATAGCAAGTAAAATGAAGTTTACAACTTAAAACAAAATTAAAACAAGTAAAAACTTAGACATGTTAAAGAATAACCATTTCAACATCTAGTAACTTATTCCAAGGACTCTGATTCAGTTGTTCCCCCCTCTCCCAAGTCCTCAGTCAGGTTACTTGCTAATGACTCCCTCTCTAGTAGGGTGCTTCTCCTTCCTCTACAAAAGACTCAAAGGGATTCTTGGGTGGAGATCTGGACTCCTCTTCTGCTGGAAGGCTTCTGGATCTCCGTCTGGATGTTATTAGTGAGGGAAATCCCGCCATCCAGGAGAAGTTGTGGTTGAAACAACCGGCTGATGTGGATTCAGAGGTTGATGGAGATGCATCAGGAAAGCAAGATGAGGATGTCGCATGGCTGTAGAGATATGTGCCTTGAGATTGAAATTGGCTTTGCCCCACTGGGCTGTGGCTCCGGAATTCGTACCTGGACGCAGGATTTACCACAGGGCTGCCAGAGTGGAGGTCTGGAAGACGATTGTAGTGTGACATATATACCCGCAGTACATGGCCATCCAGCATGATCTCATCGAGGGCATCAATGGCATCCTCAGCATGGCGCCTGTTGAGGAAACGGACAAAAGCAAAGCCTCGAGCTTTTTTAGTAAAGCGGTCTCGTGGGATATACACATCGCCAATCTCCCCATACTGCTGGAAGATAATCCACAGGCTGCTGGTTGTAGTACAGGGGTTCAGATTGTCCACCTTAAGAGGTCATGTCGAGAACATTGAGAGGAGGGTACCAGTAACTCATGGCCTTTGAGAATTCAGCTTGAGCCTCCACTACTGAGCGCCGAGAAACCGACAATCTGGGAAGTACAGTGCCAACAGCTGTAACGGTTTTACATTTCCTCCTCTGTTTCACTACATTCCACGCAGGCGCATTGGAATCTTAGCTACAATAGAATGTTCTATGCAGTCCCGCCTATCTCCAGATTTTATATAAATATAAAATCTCATGAAATATATTTCAATGCTGATTCATATAAGGTTGAAACATTTCTCTACTTGGAGACAAAAGCAAACAAAATAGCAAAATAAGTCATGAACAAACAGGGTAATCAATAATACTAAACAATACTAACAGGCGAAGAAAGATTGACAGTGACCAGCAAGGCTTGAATTGTAATCAGAAACTGAATGAGTCCCCTTATCTCCTTGAAAAAGAACAATTAACTGGAGTCAAAGATGTCATGATCTCTTATTCCAAATTATATAATGGATTATATAATGGATATAATGCACAGTGTTAGAATTTACTGCTTCCTCATTAATTGACCCAGTATATTATCTGATAAGTTTACGTGATGTAACTTCCATTTAAAATTGTTTTCAGAATTAATAATTTTATTTAGTCAAATTGTTGACATCTTTTCTGATGAGTCATGCCCATTGCACTCCATTAAATAAGCTTGACCATAGGGAATATAAAATATTACTTAAGTACTTTTGACCTTCAATAAGCATTTTGTGCTCTTTGCAAGCCACAACATCTTCTATATATAATTAATATCTGCTCTGGTTATCCACTATTGTATTAGAATTTAGTGGCTTAGACTAACAATTTATCATAATTTTATCTCACAATTCTAAGCCACATGGATTAATATAGGGGACAGTAGAGTTTGCTTCTTCTCCATTATATCAGCTGAATTAGCTAGGTGACATATTGCTCCTCTGGAACTGCTGGGTGTCAGCTGATTCCCATCCCCCTTTTCCAGAGCTATTTCATGTCATTGGCTTGGCAGATTTCTAGTCTAGTTATATTTCTTACATAGCTGCTTAGGTTTATAAGAGACCACAGTGGAAATACCAGTCCTGTTAAATTCTAGGCCCAGGCCAGTATATAGTATCAATTCTGCATCACTTCTAGGATATTCCATTGGTCAAAGTAACCATAGGCCAGATCAGATTCAAAGTGAGGGGGGGAAAGGAATATCTCAAATTGTGAAATACTTACAACCACTTTTAATCTACCATAGTCATTCCTCTGGACAGATAATATTTGCATTTTTCTGGCATAAAAATAATATTATCCTCTTATTGCAGTGTATGAACATCTAGGATAGGGGTGTCAAACTCAATCAGAGAAGGGGCCAAAATCTAAAATCCAGCCTAAATCGCGGGCCGAATGGTTTACTGAACAGTCATAAACTGTCATTGTGATGGAAACGCAGCGGAGTGCAGTGATGACAGCACGGTGCGGGCCACATTGCAAGGCCTGGCGGGACGGATTTGGCCCGCGGGCCTTGTGTTTGACACATGTGGTCTAGGACCTCATTTTAATTAGCCTAGATACAAAAGTTCCTCTTAATCAGAAGTCCTGTGGCATAAAGAAACAGATCATATGCTTTTCTCACATCTAACATACAATATTGAGATACTTATAGGAGAGCCTTAAGTGAAAATTCTATTCAAGAGGGGGAATAGATCACAGTAATTCTAAAATTCAACTAGGAACATGCTTCCAGCGTCTTGGTTAAGGCCCATTCTCATTCCATGAGTCACCAATTGGTCCTCTGTTATCTTAGTTCAGCCTTCTGAGTTAGCCTACCTTCCTTAAAATAATGCTCCATGTGTGTAGCTGATTAACTTTCTTAGTGTGCTTCCTGTGTGTAAAGGTTGAGGGTACCAAGACTTCTAATTCTAAATTGTTCCTGTACCTTTTAGTCTAAACTAGGGGTGTCGAACTCAATCAGAGAAGGGGCCAAAATCTAAAATCCAGCCTAAATCGCTGGCTGAATGGTTTACTGAACAGTCATAAACTGTCATTGTGATGGAAACGCAGCGGAGTGCAGTGATGACAGCGCGGTGCGGGCCACATTGCAAGGCCTGGTGGGACAGATTTGGCCCGCGGGCCTTGTGTTTGACACATGTGGTCTAAACTCATCGTGCTTCTAATAGAACAAATTCTCTCTGTTTGTCTGTCAGGTTGCTTATGATTATTATTCAGTCTCCACTTAATTAAACAAAAGACACACCCACACTTTTTTTCCATGACAAGTTCTACCTTGGGCCCTTGTGAAGCTGATGTGGAGTTGCTTGCAAATAAAGTTAGTGAAGAATGCTCTGAGATCTTACAAAAGAATCACATAGCTCTACACTTTCCTTGTTTACCTTGAGACTGCATTTTACTGTCCAGGTTTTACTCTTTGCTCTGAGGCCATTGTTCATCTTTGAATTTTCTCAAAAAGAAAGGAAACTTTACTTAAAATGGAGTCAGGAAGCCCTGAAGCAGGTACTCTCATGCACTGCCATGGAGATTCCAAACAGTAGGACAAACAGCAGGAGGAAGAATTTCTCCTTGCTCAGAAAAATATCTTAATTGTCACCTGAACCTCTTTAGCTAGTTGCCTTTAGATTTGGGCTCCAGGTTATAGTCCAGCCAATGAGAAACTGCCACACTCAGCCAATAAGTAGCCATTATCACCCTGAATTCTTCCAGAACAGCCCTTCTTAACTTCCTTTTTCCCTTAAAAAAGCAATCTTTTTCCTCTGTTCTTCAGACTTGTCCATGGCTCTCCTTTATTGGATTGTCCCAAATTGTCATTCTTTTGCCATTCTCAAATAAACCCATTTTGCTGGTAAAACAACTGGCCCTTTTGCTTTTAAGGTTAATCTTTCCTTAGCTGTAAAGGCTGTCGTGGGCACTCTATTCTTTTGTCTACATTCTGTTCTAAAACGGAGCAATTCATTTTTATTTACCTTGAACATATATTTTTATTGAATTCAGAGAGAAGGGAGAGGGAGAGATATAATCATTGATTGGCTGCCTCCTGCATGCCCCTACTGGGAATTAAGCCCGCAACCCAGGCATGTCCCTTTGACTGGAATTGAACCCAGGACCTTTCAGTCCACAGTCCGATGCTCTATCCACTGAGCCAAACCAGCTAAGGCAACAATTCATTTTAAAATTAATTTTGATATTTTCATATATTATCAGAGGAATTTAAATCAATCAATCAAATTATTCTTTTAAAAATATATTTATTTTTATTGATTTCAGAGAGGAAGTGAGAGGGAGGGAGGGAGAGGGAGAGAGAGAGAGAGAGAGAGAGAGAGAGAGAGAGAGAGAGAGAGAGAAACATTAATATTGAGAGAGAATCATTGATTGGCTGCTTCCTGCATGTCCCATGTCCCCTACTGGGGATGGAGTCCTCAACTTGGGCATGTGCCCTTGGCCAGAATTGAACTTGAGAACCTTCAGTCCATCGGCCAATGCTCTATCCATTGAGCAAAACTAGCTAGGGCTAAATTATTCTTTCTATATATCCTCTTAGCCAAATGTATGAATTTATTTATTTTATTTTTTAATATATTTTATTGATTTTACACAGAAAGGAATTGAGAGGGATAGAGTTAGAAACGTCGAGGAGAGCGAAACATGGACCAGCTGCCTCCTGCACACCCCCAACTGGGGATGTGCCCACAACCAATGTACATGCCCTTGACCGGAATCGAACCCGGGACCCTTCCGTCCCCAGGCCTACGCTCTTCCACTGAGCCAAACCGACTTCGGCAAATGTATGAATTTATTAGGTACACTTGTTATTTTCTGCAATACTCCAAATGATAGTTTTGCTAATAATTTTGTAGCAGATTTAGTAGGTGTCTGTTTATCTATGTTCTTATTTACTTTCTTTCAGCTATTTCGGATTTTAACAGAATTATGTCATGGCCTAGTAAGGGATAAAAATATGCATTTTAGAAATTTTAAGCTCTTTACTCACTTTCTCAAAAAAATATTAGTTCTTAATTACATGAGTTCTCTTAAGAGAAATCACTCTAAGGTAAAAGGCAAAGGTGAATTGATGGATATTTTGTACCAATTAACAAAAATAGTAATATACATGGCAGAAGTGTTAAAATTATAAGGGCTTCATCCATTCAAAGAATTTTATGTCTTTGTAATATAAATTAATTTCCTGAGGAAAAAACACACACACACACACACATAGTCACCATGAAAATCAAGTTTGATTTATGTCAGAGAAGAGAGAGCATTGAATCAACTTCTGGGTACTTAGATTTGTATCCTGGCTCTACTACAAATAAGCCACAATACTTGAGATAGTCAACTCCTGGGCTTAGGTTGTGATATCACTTAAATGAAGGAGTTATACCAGTTGATCTTGTTGTTCAGCTATAAACACCACCTGCTTAAATTGTTGAAATGCTCATTTTAAAAGCATTGACAATAATTTAAACAAATTATTAAAACATAATTATAATATTAAAATGTTAGTTTGCAAGCATTGTTGGATTCAATTCTATGGCAACATTTTACTTATTTTTTGTTTATTCATTTAACATTATCATGACTATGTGATTTGGATTAAGAATAACTTCAGGAACTTTAGAGATTTGTTATTTAAGGAACTTACCCCTAATTTAAAAATAAGAAAACATGTGATTCTGTTTTACTTTTCCCTTTCACTATCAATGATGTAAGGCAATGATTCTTCAGAAATCTTCATTCCTGTTGTGATAAAGAAGGTCACATAAATTGGGAGATAATTTGAGAATTTCTAAGTATGAAATGAACTGTCTTTAGAATTTCTAAGTATGGCATTAACTTTGTCCTTTCAACTCAAATAATTTGAAGTCTAATGGAAACATCTCTTTATGGAATTTATCCTCCTTGCTCAATATTTATATTTCTTTATCTTCCACAAATATCTGTAGACTTACTACTATGTATACAGACTGTTCTAGATGCTATATTTTTTTTAGTTTATGTATTTACTACATGAAAATATTAAAATGAATGCTATGATGTGCATTGTAGGTATCTTCACAAGTAGATATATCTCCTGGGAGGAAATGTGCTGATCCATATGTACAACTGTTTGAAATGCTTTTTAACATAGTGATATATACAAATGTAACTCAATACATTTATTTTTTACTTCCATTTCCAAATTTCCTGAATTTCTAATAATTTTATGGCTTTAAAGCTGTGAACCAGAATTACAAAACTAGTAAGTTCTGATTTAGTAAATAATAAGCAATAGAGCCTAAAAACACCAAATGTAATCCTGGGAAATGGTGAACTATTCAAGGTATTTTCACTTCCTATTCCTTTGTGAAAATGAGAGATGCAGTGTGAGAGGCCTGTCAAACTTCCCCAGTCTGAGCTCCTATACCTTACTGTCCTACTGCCATCTTCAAACTGCAATATGTGGTATAAAGATACTAATAATCTTAGGGCATGGCTGTGATTTACTTGAGTCCAGACTCTTCACTACTAAAACAACTGTATGTCTCACAATTTTATATTATTCAGCCTTAAAAAATAAGGAAATCCTGCCATTAGTGACAACATGAATAAGCCTGGAGGCCATTATGTTAAGTGAAATAACCCAGTCACAGAGGGACAAATATTACATTCCATTTATGTGAGCCATCTAAAACAATGAAACTTATAGAAGCAGAGAATGGAATGATGGTTGATAAAGACTGGGGAAAAGGGAAAACGAGAGGTTCTACAGGTATAAGTTTTTAGTTATGCAAGATGAATACATTTTAGAGAACCACAGTGCAACTTAGTGCCTATAGTTAACAAGACTTTTTACATTTAGAAATATGCATTGTACCTTTAAAATATGTTAACAGGGTAGATCTCATGTTAAGTTTTCTTATCATGAAACAAAATGGAACAAAGCAAAAAAAACAGATGCAAAGAAACTTTTGGAAGTGATGGATATGTCTACTATCTTGATTGTGATGATAGTTTCATGGCTGTATGTATATGTACCAATTTATCAAATTGTATATATTAAAAATATATCAAATATATATTAAGTATGTATGTTTTAATGTGTATATAAAATATGAGCAGTTATACATAAATGTAAATATAAATTTCTATAGTAATATAAATTGTATACATTAAATACTATGTTCATTTGTACCTCAATAAAGCTGCTTTAAAAAAACAAACAAAAACTCATAGACACAGACAACAGTATAGTGATTACCAGAGGGAAGGAAGGTAAGGGGGTGTAGAGGGAAACTAATGTCATCCTAATAAATTACATTTTTAAGAAAAAGTTGGTTAGTGTTCAGAGATGAGCAAGAGCAACAGCATGACATGTTTGTTTGTTTGTTTGTTTGTCTGTTTATCACTTCAAAAGCTGATAGGCAAGAGGTGGAAAAAAGTGTTACCAAATTTTTGAGAATTATCATCTTGGAAGTACGCTAGTCCAGTGGAAAAGATAGTCGTCAGAGCTAGTCATTGAGGGATTCAGAAATTGCACATGTGGCTCTGGAGAAGGGAAGGAATGAATGAGATATCCCCCAACCTTTTTCTTTCTCACCTGTATCCAATTAATATTACTGTTTAGCTGAACAAAGGAAGTCAGGAGAACATGGGAGATGCTGTGTGAATGGGGCAATATTCCAAGGTATAGCATAATAAGAGAAGAGCAAAAAATTAAGCAGAGTGTTTGAACAAACTGAGAAGGAGTATCATATCCTGTATGCTAGTCCTAACTTCCTAGAATCCTGAATACTTTGAATCAGGCACACAGCTATTTTATACTACATATCCACAATAAGTGGCTACAAGTAACTTCTTGCATTTGTTTGCTTGATAAAATAAGTGCATCATTTTGCAAGAGGGTTCTTTCATAAAATTTTGATTTTTGCTTTGTTTGATTTTATGCCCTTAAAGCCCCATGTTCTTAAAGAATTAGCTGTCTATCCTATAAGTCAACTGTGTTTATAGTGTTATTTTAAAGAGTTATTAAGTGGAGAAATTTTTTAGGACCAATCTGATAAGTGGCATTATAATAATACAATCTTGAGGTCCTCAATCTCAATCCTTTTTTTTTTTTCAATTGAGATGACATTGGTTTGCAGAATCATACAAGTTTCAAATCTATAATGCAATAAAACATCATCTTGCACACTGTATCATTTGCCCATCACCCCAAGCAAAGTCTCTTTTCATCCCCATTGCCCTCACCTTTGCCCACTTCCACCTATCCCCACACCACTTTCCCTATGGCTATCACTACACTATTGTCTGTGTCTAAGGGTTATGTATATATGTTTTTTGGTTAATCCCTTCGCCTTCATTCATCCAATTCCCCAACTGGCCTCTTCTCTACAGTTGTCAGTCTGTTCCATGTATCCATGCCTCCTTTCTATTTTGTTCCTTGGTTTATTTTATTAATTAGATTCTACATATAGGTGATATCATATGGTATTTGTCCTTTTGCCTGCTCAGTCCTTTTGGAATTCCGATTCTGTTCTTTTTTGTACTTTGTAAATTAATACTCATGTTGAAATGAATGTAGGCCTTGCCTTACTGAATCCTGTCTGTGAATAAGATGAATTTGCTCATTTATCAGGGTCAGCTCCTTGGCCAGTGTTGATTTTGGTCTTGTGTACCTTAATTTTGAACTGTAATTTATGACTTACTCTGCTATCATCTCTCAAGAGCTTCTCTGGAAAGAAATATAAATCTCTTCCAATAAGGCAGAGATTTAATGTTCCTTATGTTTTCCTAATTCTCTTTTCATAAGAAACTAAATATAAAGCAAAAACGTGAGTCATAATTCAGTCCATAGTGTGACCAAAATAGCATGGAGCTGACATCTGCATTCTTAGGCCTGATGCAACAATCAGTGGTGTGATTATGGGAGAGGTACTTTACTCCCCAATATCTCAGATGCTGCATCAATAAAATGTAAGAATTGAACTGCTTTATATTCAATATTACATTCAGCCTCTACCATAATTAATCAGGAAGTGAACTAAAGTGTACTGAAGGGTTTTTTTCCATAGCCAATACTCTAGTATGAACAATGAAAAAACTAAAGGAGGTAACTTTGTATTATAAAATGATTTTATTTCCAGATAGAAAATGTTGATTCCTTCTGTTCAAACACTGTACACTTACCATATTTAAAAACAACAACAAATAAATAACACATGCTGAGCAATAAAAGTCATCAAACTTGTGATATTTCCTCTCCCTGGACTGAAAAGTAATTTCTTAAAATTTGTTAATGCTCACAGGTTAGCTGAACCAAGTCAATTTATTACCTCTTTCAGCTAAGCACCAATATTTCATTTCAATTACTGTGATGATCACAATATCTTGAATTTAACTGATGCACTCATTATAAATGATATTATAAATATCCACCAAGAGTTCAGGAATGAAGAAAAGAAAAGTTTTGTTCCACTTGGCATCAGGAGACCTTAAAAGCTGATCAAATAGTGTGATCAGGAAAAAAAATTGCAACAAAAAAGGAAAAAGAATGGAGTATAACAGATAAAAGATCCTAAAGAAACAGATTTTCCTTTTTAAAATAAATTTATATGAAAGAAAAAATCCATAGTCCATTATATATAACTGCCCCCCATTTTTTTCTGAATAATTCAAACCATTAATGTTATATTAACAAAATTTAAAAAAATAATATTGTATTTTTGTATACATTTCTCATTGAAAGGATCTTATTTGGTCACTAAGTTTTCATGCATTTCAGAGATAAACTTTAAACAATAAAGAATTAAAAAAAGAAATAAACCTAAATCACAGCCAAGTATGACCAAGTGAAACAGATCCTAATAAATTATCATAGAGTTTAGTCTGGAGAGTGATTCTAAACTCTATTTTGCTTTTTTCACATCCTCATTTCCATTAAAGAACTTCATAAGTGCTATGGGACACATCTCCCTATAATCTCTATTCATTCTTTATAAAATTTCAATTTATTTCTTAATTTTTAAAAACAATATTTTTATTGTTGAAAGTATTACAGATGTCCCCTTCATTTGTTTGTGGGTTTTACCCCCCACTGACCCCTCTAAACCATAAACACCTCTCCAAAGCTTTCATCACTGTATTGTCTGTGTCCAGGGGTTATGCATATCTATATATATATTAAAAAGCAGTGACCATAATGACCAAAGGCTCGACTCAACACTGAAAGCCAGTCCTGCAGTGAGTGCTGGGTTGTCATGATGACTCAGCACTGACTGCAGCCACTAAGGGCACAATAACCCAGCACTGACTGCAGAGGGGGCTTTGGATCAGGCCTGGAGAGAGCCCTGAAGAGAGAAATAGTCTGATTCATAGCCTCTGTGGAAGCTTTCTCTCTGGGCTTCCACAGGGGCTTCTGATCAGCCCCACCTCTCTGATCAGGCCTGGAGACACTGACTAGCATAGAAACCAACCAATCAGAATCAAATCTCAGTGAAGTGCAAAGGCAGAACCTAGGGTGGGGGCTAAGGAAGGGTTTTAAGGCAGTTGGGTGTGAGATCAGGCTGGCAGGGGAGGGTAGTTAGGGGCAATCAGGTAGACAGAGGCAGCTGGGAGTGATCAGGCAGGCAGGCAGGCAGGTGAGCGGATAGAAGCCAGTGGTCCCAGATTGTGAGAGGGATGTCCAACTGCCAGTTTAGACCTGATCCCACAGGGGTCTCCAATTGGAGAAGGTGCAGGCTGGGCTGAGGGAACACCCCCATGCATGAAGTTCATGAACCGGGTCACTAGTCTATATATATAAAACATCAAGTGACCGGTCAACCATTTCACTGGTTGCTATGATGCACACTAACCACCAGGGGCATACGCTCAATGTAGGAGCTACCCCCTGGTGGTGAG